CTGTTGTTTAGAGTCACATCACATTGTTGTTATCAGATGGCCCACATCATTAAAATATCAACTTCACAGGAAGCCACGATGGGAGTGTGTTTTTTCTGTTTATCCAGCCGGTCTTGAAACACTTCATAAGTCCTCCAGAAGCGTTTAAAAACAACCATAAAAATCAGCATGTTTTTCTGTTATAGAGTTTTGTTCTCAGCACCGAGCTGCTAGGAAACTACTCTGTCAGTATGAAATGACTCTCTGAGGTTTAAACACACCTTGCTGGAGGGAAAGACCTCATCTCCCCAAGGTCATCTTGTCTGTCACCGTGGAAACAGGTGCCCGTGGCCTGATGGGAAACCGGAGGGGAGTTAAAGTTCAGGCGTCAACAGTAAAGTAGCCTGTGAAGTCATGGACTGTGATGAAGAGATTGTCTCTCATCAGGATCACAGTTATATATAGTTGATGTTAGTGGAGTAGAGCTGAAACCAATCCCAGGAGTCCACTTAAGCTCTGTTATTATTTGCCATTATTAAACACATTTCTCAGCATTACTCACTGTTCTGATAATAATATATATATTTTTAACATGTTTCTCTATGTGTGTGTTTCTCATGCAGACAGTGACGGGAACCTTTGTTCTCTCAGTCTTCACTGCCGTCCTGGGATCTCTGGAGTTTGGGTACAACATTGGCGTCATCAATGCACCCCAGAAGGTAAAAAAATGAAGCACAAGGACATGGGTTCAAGACCCCATCAAATGTCAGACAGTTATATTTAACCAGACGTCAACTCATTTAATTTATTTATTTATAAGGACAACATGAATCGACATTTCTGTAAATGTGCAACTGCTAGTTGGCTCATTATCAACTGCAGACCATAGAAGAGATGGTCTTTTTATGTGTTTTTTTTTGCGCTTTTATTGCCTTTAAACTGGCTTGGGCCACTGAGTAGGTGTAGGGCCATTCAAATTAAGTAGTGGTAAAAAATACTTCCAATACTACGTCTAACTTCACAGTTACTCTACATTTTTATATAATCATTTTATATCATCTCAAATAATGTCAGAAACTGCTCACTTCTTATTAACTGTCAATATGAATTTTTAAACACCTTTTTAAAAAAAGAACTGTGTTTTTATTGTAATTGTATATGAATGTGTGACAGCAACAGCAACAAAACAATAAATTCTTCAAGACAACACACAACACAAGCCAGGCAGAGCAACAGGAGGCAACAAAACATCAGTATACAATAATGCAGCAACAAACTCCATTATAACCATATATACCATATAACCATGCAAGCAACACAAAGTGACAAAACACTGTCATGAAGATCAGCAATAAACAGTCGTCATGGATAAAATACAAGAGTCAATATTGTTAGTAAAACAGTAATATACAACTAACACACAAACTATTCAGCACAGAGTTATGAGACACAATTACTGAAGAAAATACTAGATTGTTAATAAAATCCTAGTAGCTCACTAAGCTCATATGTTTCCTTATTTTACAAGGCACCACAACATCCTGACGTCTTGAACTCATGTAGCCTTCAAATACATATACTGTATGTGCTGTACAGTATATATTTATAGAGGCACAGCAGTTTTGAAAACCTGACTTGTTCCGGCTATAAAACATGTCGCTGTCTCATATTTCAGCCACATCTGGTGTTCCAGCACGTTTGGGTACTCTATGTGAGAAATGTATGTAGTACTGTGTGATTTATGACTGCCTATATCACATATGCTGTTTTATCAGGCTGGACAATGTATTGCAGAACAAATACTTAATTCAATACGTTAATATGTCTATTAACAGTCGGGTGTTGTTTGGCACATAGTGTAACACGTCCAGCGTCGGTCAGAGAGATGAATGGAAGTCAGGTGTGTTGCTCCTGACTGGGCTGATGGTATTCAGGCTTCTGGTAATGACTCTCGACTACAAACGTGACACAGCTGACGTAGTTTCACAGAGACGCTGAAACCAGAATGGAAGCTGCTGTTTGCTGTTGTGTGTGTGTGTGTGAGACATTCAGAGACAGTTCATATACAGAATAAATTGCTCTGGTATACAGGAAAGTTGTAAACCCCTTAATTTATAGTTTATGACCTCTAGTTTATCCTTTTATTTCTACACTGTGTATCCTCCATATGGATTTCCCCCTGTTATTTTTACTTTACTGTGAAAAGAAAAAGTATTGAAGCTTGATACCCAGTCAGGGATGTTGCAGAGCAATTAAATCTTCCTCTGATGGAAAAGGTTATTTCTGGGGGTCCTTTAAAGGTATGTTACATTACTTTTAGTAATATGTTCTGTATCTTATTTACAAATCCTGATTCTAAATTACAGTTATCAGGGTTTCATGCTATGTGGGTTACCTTAACAATGACAAATACACACTTAATACCTAACCTTTCCTTGTTTGTCATATATTTTACTCCTGTTTCAATCCTAAAGAGCAGCAAGACACCCCCTATTGATCTGTGTCTTAACATGTCAAAATAACATTAACAATAATCACCCAATCTCCCCTCTGTGCCTTGTGAAGATGATTGAGCAGGACTATAATGCGACATGGTTGCATCGGTATGGAGAACCCATCCCCAGTGGGACCCTCACCTCCCTCTGGTCTCTGTCCGTGGCCATCTTCTCCATCGGTGGCATGTTGTCCGCCTTCTGCTTGGGCTTCGTTTCTGAGTGGCTGGGCAGGTAGGGAAACACACTGGACGGTGCACACTCTGATTTAGGTGTTTCCACCAGAATTGGGAGTTTATATTTTGCTTGTGAACTCAATACCCAGTAAAGCACAAATATTCCACCTAAGAGCCATTTTTTAAGCTTTATAACCCATCCGTGGGTGGTCACAAAATAAATCTAAGGTGTTATGAGGCAGTTAACAGGACAGAAAAAACATTTGCTTAGACAATAATTAAAAAATATGTCAGTGGCCAACTCTATGAGTCATGATACAGCAACGTCTCCTTTCCACCTCTGCATGGATCCAAAATGGATCCCAACGTCCAGTCTCTTGTCACTAAGGGGGAAACTCTGCCCACAATGTTCCCTGTCGACCCAGTTTCCCTCTGTAACCTGAGCTGGACTGCAGCCCAAAGCTTCCACTGGCTGAAAGTGGATCTTAACAGAGCTGGCAGCACAGGGCCAGGAGGGGTGTGTGGAGAAGTGAGGGTCGGTTGGGCAGTGGCAGCTTTCCACCATGGGTGCGCTCAGGACAAGGTCCTCCTAAAGAAATGTATTGTTACTTCACTTTGATGTTTGAACTTCACTGTGCAGAATGATGTATGTGCAGAGTTGCTCACATTCCTCTGCTGAAAGTGGAAAGTTTTTCTCTTCTTACCTTAAATCTCAGTTTAATTGATTGAAGATTTTTTGTCTTCACAACTAAATTATATAAACTGTCAGTGGTCTGGAAGCCAATCAAGATCCAAAATGTAATTTACACAAGTGTGTGGAAACTTGAATCATGTAATGCACATACACTGAGATTGGACTTTAAGTAGGAGACATCTTGAGTCCAGCAGTTAATTCTCAAATGAAAATTATCTGTACGAAGATTATTAATACATATTTAAATAGCCTATATATATTTTATCTATAGATTCTGGGTTTTTTAGTGGGGTAGAAAGAGCAGATGCCATTTTTGGAATTTTAAATTACATGTTGTACAACATGTCTGGGGCATCTTTAATTTTAATTTAATATCTTGATGAAGCTTTTTGGTATAGGTGGCCCCTGGTTTGAACCAAATGCCTGCCTCTGTCAATTTGTAGCACCACGTTAGCATAACTTTTTGGCATGACTTGTAATGATCATAATCTAAAAAATAACTTTAAATGAAACTGAATAATAGCAAATTACACTGCACTACAGACACTCAAGTTTTAGGGTTGTTTAAGGATAACTACTAATGTCAGTCAGGGATTAAGCAACTACCTAAAGCCTCACGTTTTTGTATGACACTGCCCTCTAGAGGCTGTGTTGTGCACATACAAATAGAGCTAGACAGAAATAATCTGTCAAGTGAAATATCATTGTCAAATTTACTATGAACACACCAGCCTCTTTGTCAGGATATTTATGCATCTTGTGTTATTTTTACAAAAAGCCCCTTCAGTAATAAAATCTGATTCTCAAGTTAGTTTACCATTAACAGTGTTGGAGCTACAGTTAACCTCCTGGATGATGATGATATCTGAGACTCTTTGTTAATGAAATATATATATATTAGATGGGAGTGAGAATGTGTAACATCTTTTCCAGGAGGAAAGCCATGCTCATAAACAACTTGTTCGCCTTCATCGGTGGAAGTCTGATGGGGTTGTCCAAGCTCTGCCACTCCTTTGAAATGATGATCCTCGGACGCTTTATCATCGGTGCCTACTGTGGTGAGCCTGTATTCTTTCGCTGTTTTGCAGTCAGTCATCTCCTTCACATCTGGTAGAAAGTTCCTGTCTCTTATCCAACTTTTCCTCTGTGCAGGATTAGCATCAGGCTTGACACCGATGTATGTGGGTGAGATAGCTCCCACAAGTCTGCGAGGGGCACTGGGCACGCTGCACCAACTGGCTATAGTCACTGGTATTCTTATAGCACAGGTGAGAGCACAGATTATAAAACCTCTCTTCTGTTTGGACAAAGTTAAAATGTTAAAATCATCAGAAAGAATCTTCAAAAGTAGTCTGAATCTTAAAATAATAAAATAATATATAATATAATATATATATATAAATAATATATAAAATAATTTGTGAGAAAATGTCTAGAAAACCACCATGTTCCCTTGAGTTTAATGTTTGATATTTTGTATTAGCCTTTTCTGGAAATGTTTTATATATTTTAAAATCTTATGCCTTCACACTTGATCCTTCTCGCTGTGCAGATCCTGGGTCTGGAGGTGTTACTGGGCAGTAAGGAGTTGTGGCCAGTCCTGCTGGGTTTAACTGTCGTGCCGACTGTACTTCAGATGGCATTTCTGCCTTTCTGCCCCGAGAGCCCCCGCTTCCTCTACATCGTCCGCTGCCAGGAGCACCAGGCCAAGAGAGGTGAGTACTTCATACTGGTCTAAAGACATCTTTAAGGTCAAAGCTAAAGTGGTCCAGCACACAGAAAGTTAGCAGCTTTAGTTCGTATAACAGACTTCTTCAAAAATGATACAGGTGCTATATTTTCAAGATATCTTTAAGCAGTCCAGTCACCTCTTGCAGCAATTTGAAGGTCTATTATTTTCCTCCTGGCTCACTTGTTTCTGTGGATGAGGTTGCAGTTGTTGGGACATTTACTGACATTTCTTGTTGTTGATGCTGTTGAACTTTGACCACAACCACTTAAATTTTGTAAATTAAGTGCTGCAGTGGATTTAAACCAACTTGTTTGTTCTAAAAACATGAGAGGACATTAACTCACCAACTGATCAACTCCTTCAGTCTTATATAGCTGAGGAATATGAGGCAGATATTACAAATATACTGCAAAAACAAAACAAGATTGTCAGGTTTATTACACTATCTAATCACTCACTGTACAATGCCTTGCTATATAAGTACTCTCACCTTACGCAACATTTATGGGGCTGAAAGTACTAAAACATGTGTCTATAAGATCTTAAGTTGGCCCCATAGAGTTTATGTTGCTTCAAACTTTTGTCCTTAAAGAAATTGTGACTGAAACTCTAATATAACATACACACACCTCAACTCCTTACACGCCTCCTTTGTGCAGGCCTGAGGAGGCTGACAGGCAGGCTGGAGGTGGGCGACATGCTGGCAGAGATGAAGGAGGAGAAGAGGAAGATGGACATGGAGAGGAAGGTGTCCATCCTGGAGCTCTTCCGTTCTCCACTGTACCGCCAGCCCATCATCATTTCCATCCTGCTGCAGCTCTCCCAGCAGCTGTCTGGGGTCAATGCAGTGAGTCAGGGGGGTTTAAACTTAATTAGTTCAAGTTATATTATTCTTTGTGAAGTGAATCAGTGCAGTGTAATCCTAACATAAGCATAATCTGTTTACCCCTCTGGCCAGATTTTCTACTACTCCACCAGTATCTTCATCAAGGCAGGAGTCCAGAGTCCAGTCTATGCCACCATAGGAGCAGGCGTGATAAACTGCGCCTTCACCGTGGTCTCGGTCAGTAATCAAACCAACATGCCTTCATCTTAGGTTTTTTGATGTGCTCCCCCTCTCCTTCTTATAAAATAATTCAACTGTAAACTGTTTTTTTTTAATTTAGTATGATAAAGAGTCTTGCTAAGTACCAAAGTGTATCTCTATTACTGTTTAACATTGTTATCAAAGAGCAAATAAGATAACACGGCAGGCTGGTTGTGCCTCTCTCGTGCCTGCCTCTCAAACACTCCTGCATCCAAGTAGGTCAAGTTTGGTTTGGCAGGTCAAAATGTTTCAATGTCATTAAATGGGTCGGAAAGCAGGATTTTTAGCCATGCTTGCCGTATGGATCTTGGGGTGAATAAATGTTGGTCTCTTTGGTCGCTCCACCTCTTTGGCCCAGACTAAATGATCTCAACATTTAGATGTATGTACATTTAGATCTGGTAGAAACAGTCATGACTTTTTAATCTAGTGCCATCAATCATCATTCCAGAGTTTTAAATTGTCCAAAACTCTGGTTTATGACATGCCTGTAAAAATAATGACATTTTTATCAGCCTCAATTATAGTTGGAGTTTGGTGCTAAGTCTTTTACATGCTGAACTAAGATAGTGAATGTGGTAAACATTATACCTGCTGAACATCAGCATGTTTGCAATGCCACTGTTAGCATGCTGATGTTAGCATTTGGCTTAAAGCACTGATGTGTTCAACCTAACAAAGCTACTAGGAATGCTATAAGCTCTTAGTCTTGTTTAAACAATGAATTATATTTCAGTACAAACTAGGTGAACAGTTAATTTAAGTACAATCTGTAAGCCGACTGAGGATAACATCTCATCTCTGTTTCCGCATTCTCTTGTTATTAACAGCTCTTCCTGATAGAGAGGATGGGCCGACGGACGCTGCACATGCTGGGACTTGGTGGGATGTGTATCTGTGCCGTCATCATGACCATGGCTCTCGCTTTATTGGTCAGTCATACAAAGATGCAAGCGCTCTGTACTGTTACAGAAGTTTTTCTACAATCCTCTGAACCCTTTTTATCTCCGACCTGATAGGACAGCGTTCCTTGGATGAGCTACATCTGCATGCTGTCCATCTTTGGCTTCGTGGCCTTCTTTGAGGTCGGTCCGGGTCCAATCCCTTGGTTTTTCGTAGCTGAGCTGTTCTCTCAGGGTCCAAGGCCGGCTGCTATGGCTGTGGCTGGCTTTTCCAACTGGACTGCCAACTTCATCATCGGCATGAGCTTCCAATATATTGCTGTGAGTATTTTTTAGTGAATAGTTGTGGATTTCCAGCACAATGATGAGTACCCCATTCAAGTGTCCAAGGTCTAGTCCTCATCCTGTTGTTCCCATCCTTCCCCAGGACCTTTGTGGGCCATACGTCTTCCTGATCTTCGCAGTACTCCTCCTCTTCTTCCTCATCTTCACATTCTTCCGGGTGCCAGAGACGCGGGGCAAGACCTTCGACCAGATTGCAGCAAACTTCAACGAGCGATCGGCGGGAGGAATGATGGATATGGACATGGACAAGCCCAGCACCGAGCTGGACTACTTGGGGGAGGAAAGCATCAACTGAGGAGTCCCTGCCTGGAGAGATATGGAACTGAGTACAGCTTGGGATGAACTGTGTATGTGGGCCCGACTTTTCTGACATGTATATTGAGGTCAATTGTTGTATTCATAGAGATTGTGGTGCCAAAGCAGTGTTAAAGGTGTGTTTTGGAATTGTCCTTTGCTGGTACCACTGCACTATGAGGTTACAAATTGAGCCTTGACAAAAGGCTTAAACCCTATGGAGTAAGAGTTGACTACTGTAGTTTCAAGGTATAAGATGCACATAAGAACAAAGTTTTTGGACTCTCAAGGCATTGACTGCCAACGTGGTAGAATTTAAGTCCATGGCGATGCACTCAGTTGCAATATTGACAGACGGAGGTGGAGACTTTGGAATTCCTGCACTTTAACTACAAAGACATCCAAAGTTTTCAGAGTTTGAAGGTAAAAACAAACAGAACATAGGATATATAGCCATGGAGTTAAGTATGCTTGCCTATTATGTACCAAAGTTGGGAACACTCTAGATGCGTAAAGATTGAAACACATTTAATTGATGAACTGAACAGAATAGTATGTCTGAAAGTTGTAAAATAAATCCAACGTTTCCACTTACAGTTACTTGGGCTGGGTATTAAGCAAATACTTTTTTGGTACAGACTGAAATGTTTCCGTAACGCGTATTGAAAACATTCAGGAAAATTGTCAAGTACAGAAAGCATCAAATCCTTGACCACATTTGTTACCTTTTTAACTTATTCTTTGATTTGGAGCACCCTGGTAGCTCATCCCCAACCATTTCTGGTCACTTTCTTGCAAAACGCCAGAAAAACAATTTATTCTTTAATCACACAATTTAAAATTAAAAAGATCATTTTAATTAATTTAGGCAAAATTCTCATATGGGTGCTCAGAAATAATCTCCAAGCAGGTCCTCTTCCACGGAGGGCCGCCCATGTTCTACAGTAGCCCACGACAATGGAGCCAAACCAAACACTGGCTCTGCATAGGGCCTTTTGTGAGTTTTTTGCAGCCACTGTAGTTTCTCCTACACACTTGAGCTGTATTCAAATGGTTGCAACCTGCAGCTTCACCACTAGATGTCACTGAATCTTACACCCTGGTCCTTTAAGAAATATTAAATGATTTAAATTTTAATTAAGTATAAAATGTTAAGCAATACCCAGCTCTAATAAAAGTCTCTTCAATCTTTTATTACCAAGGTGGGCTGTCAATCATGTAGTGTGTTCCCCGCTAAGGCAAACTGCTATATTATAAAGTATTTTTCTGATCATGAGAAACTCATTGCACAACCTGCAGAAATGCTACTTTTAAACAAAAAATCTATTTTAGTACTTCATGTGTACATATAGTGTGTCATTTGGTTGTTGATATTTAAGGGTATGAGGGTCTAAAAGTTTCAATTCTTTATGCACTCCAGCAGGTGTTTGGTTTTGTAAACAGAAGCCCGATACTATACTAGAGCAAGATGTGCAATCAGAGGGCTGCCTGTATAGTTTTGTTTTTTAAAAATCACACAATCATGTTTGTGCATTTCTCTTGGCATCTGTCATGTGTGCTGTTTGCTGTCTATTCTTTAATGGTGTGTATCACTACCTTCTGAGGATTTGTACTGAGATTGTTCAGAGAGGACCTGTAATTTGTATACAGTGAATATTGATGCTGTGGTCATGTTGTGACTAAAAGGATGCAAGTACTGTAAATAATGTTACTGAAAACACCTGTAAAAGCCTCCATTGCTTTCAAAATACCACTAGAAAATTGTGATTTAATATCAAGTAAACCAATTTTAAAAACAAAAATGCAAATAGTCAAAAGCAGTATCTTCTAATTCACTGTCAGACAAGAAATAAGGACTGAATCCTGAGATTTGCAAACATGATTTATTAATTAGCATTTTAAGTATCGACATTGCACATAATCCCCTCCAACAAAACGCATACACAAATAAGTAAAACAAAAACAAAAAATCAGTTTTTCATCAATCTATCCTCAACTGAGGAGATGAAGGGAGTAGTATGTTTTAGGAATTGATTGTGGTGGTAACAGAACTAAACTGACTCCCATAATGCACCACCAACCTCACACATGCTTGGTTTTCCCCTCTTCAACCAAATTAAAAAAGCTAAATAAAAATCAAGGCTGGTTCCTCTATAAACTACTTCATGTGTCTCATCTAGGCAATTAAAGGAAAATAGTTTTTCAAGGGGGGTTGGAATAACTGGGCTACCAAGCAGATTGTCCATTCCCATTTTTCTTTTTAAAGATGTACTTTCAATCTTATAAATATGCACCCACCACCCACCTGTATCCCCCTTCTTCCCTTCCTCATCCCTCTGAAAACATCAGTGCCTAGACAGGACAACACAAGACAGGATGAGAGGGGGGAGGAGGCACGAGGGATGACAGCAAGGCGGGGTGGGTTGGAGGATGGGGGGAGTGCAGGGAGGGGAGAGCAGTGCATGTGTTCTGAAATAGGTCGAGTCCTCCAACCCAAGGACCTACGAAAGACAAAGAAAAAAGGAAAATAAAAACAAAACGCAAGGGAGACACAGACAGTAAAGAAACAAAGACATTAAACACAAATCTATCCCCGAAATAAAGATTCATTTCACTCAAAAATTGTTCCTTAAACACTTTGCATAAAAGTCTCCCTTTAATGCCATCATTCCACCTTAAATCCATTTACAGGAAAATGTTTACTAAACCGCCTTTAAAGTCCGTCATCCTGCCCCTCTGTGAAAGATAGCCAGTGTGGCACCTGTAGTGCAACCCTACACCCCCCCTCATGTCTCCAACCCAGACCTGACCACTGTAGTGTGGGGGTCCCACCTCATGCCAAGGGTGGTGTGACTGTCCCCTCGGTAGCGTCACTCTGTTGGTGCTGGGACTGTTGTGGCAGCGGCCTGCTGTGGGGAAAGAGACGGTTAGACAGATATCCGTTTCAACACAGGGAATCGGTAGAAAATGGCAGTTTTAGCAGCTTACCTCGGGTGATTCTGGCGCTTTAGGGGAGGTTTTGGGGGAGACCTTCGGTGATTTTGATGTGGATTTAAGATCTGCTGGTTTTAAGGTCTGAGGGGGGGTACCAGGCTCTGATGCAGACTTCTCTGTATCGTTCTGCGATATGTGCAAGTAAAAAGAAAAGTTGTATTTTGGAAATGGACCAGGTAGCATTTTTACCTTGAACAGTTAGTTGCACTCACTTTTGAGGTAGAAGACTCTGAGTTCCTTTGCCTGCGGCGTCTAGTCTGGCGCCGTTGTTTCTGACCCTCTGCTGTTTCTCCGTTGGTCTGCGGGCCCTCAGAGGCCTCCGTCTGCTTCACCTCGCCTTGCTCCGGGCTCTCCTCTGGGGAAGCCTCCTGGTGGTCTGCAGCCTGATCCAGAGCGGCGCGTGGGCGGAACGGTCTGTGATTCCCACGACAGAGGAAACATAAAAAAAATCAGCTTTGCATTTATGTTAACTCAGAGAAAAGTAGAACAAGAACGATGCTGCCAGGTCACCTGCGATATGGGCGCCAGAATCTACGCCGCGGTGGCCGCTGCGTCTGGTCGCCCTCTTCTACTTCGTTCTTTTCCTCTCCAGCCTCACCCTGAGGGATCAAACAGACAACACCTCAGACTATTCTGCCACAGAACTATATTAAACTGATTCATCCCATTACTTTCAAGAGCTTTTTATAATATTCAAAAGCTTTTCAAAAGCTTCAGAAGAGGTTTCACAACGTTCAAATCTCCCCAAGTTGTTCTTAACAGTTCTGCTGCACTTTTACTTTACACTCATTGAACTCCAGGTTGCAGTCAAACTCCCTCTCACATAAATCAAGGTTTAAAGAAATGACTCCCTGCAGCAGCATCCCTCAGTTTCCTTCAGCTTACATCTTGTGCCTCCGGCCGAGGTCTGCGTGGTCTACGGCGGCGCTGCTGAGGTCTCGTTCCATCGTTCTCCACCGATCCCTCGCCCTCCAGAGAGGGCTCTTGGCCATCAGCTGGTTTGCCCTGGTCACCAGGCCGAGGGCTGCGGGGGAAGAACCGTCGACGGAAGCGGCGTTTGTTGGGTGCGTAGCGGCTTCCCTTGACTGGGACGCCGCCTGGACCGGTTACATTGGCTGCTTCTGAGCCCTGTGGGACGCCAAAGAGGGGAATTGTAAAAATCAGCAGACTTAAAACTTGCTGCTATAGTATCGAACGGATTCTCAGATTCTTACCTTGGCTGCCTCAATCACATCAAACTCTACGACCTCCCCGTCTCCCACACTGCGGAGAAACTTCCTAGGATTGTTCTTCTTGATAGCAGTCTGAGGAGACATTTTATAAATAAATAAGATTTATAACATAAAACGATGGTTCAAGCCATAAAAACATTCAAGAAAATGCCCTTTGCCTTACCTGATGAACAAACACATCTTCTTTGGTGTCATTCCTGAGAGAAATAAAACACTGATTAGCAAACTTGTCTCATTAGACTTTGAATTAGACTTAGAACCTCAGAGGAGACAATACCTGTTGATAAAGCCATATCCGTTCCGCACGTTGAACCACTTCACTGTGCCTTGGACCAAGGTGGCTACAATAACAGGTAGCACATGATTAACGTGTATCCAGGTAACATTTGACGTCAAGTACGTCGTTATACAGCCAGTCAAAGAACACAATAATATACAGTTATCTCGCTTGTATCAATGGCAGCCTTTGCTTACAACAAGGAATGGGAGCTCTGTGTGTCAATCATTAACAGTGAGACTTTGAAACCAGGTCAGCACTGGGTCACGAGGGCGGGCTGCCGAACAACAGAGCTATACGTTTCTCGCCTCAGAAGATTTTTAAAAACAAGACACACACACACACACAAAAAGCCCCGTCCACGGACTCATCAGAACAGACGGTGAACTTTGTAAAAATCACTGAAACGCGTTTAATTAGCAATGATTTGCACCTGTGGGGGCGCGCGCGCAAGCCCCTATCGGAGCGCGCGACAGCTGATCAATGGGGATTTAGGTCTTTTTGTTCGCACAGTTAACAGACACTTAAAACACTTATAATGTGCCTTCATTTAGTTTCAGTACAGACAAAACAAAAAGGAAGCGGTTACAATAAATACAGAGAGCGCTCACGTTCTAGTGATATTCGAGTTCACTATAAATTTTATTGTTTTTCTGCCAGCGAAAGCTCTTAAACTCATATTCTGTTGCACTGCAGAGGTTTGACTTCAGTCGTATAAATAATTATTTCCCACAAAAAAACCCGTCCGTATCCCACCTGACACGTGTTTCTAGAAAAAACGAAACACACCATGGTGTCAAACACAGATGATTGATTGACCGTTATCTGCTGATTTAACTCCAGTTATAACGTGTTGACACAATATATTTAAAACACGTTTAGAAACTTTTTTTTTTTCTTTTTTTACATTTGTGTGACAACAACTCAAATAAACTTTTATGCGGCAGCATCATGAATCAGTTTATTTCACTCACAGCCATAAGGATCACATGAACTCAGACTAAATGATGTAGTTTGAGAGACTCCTGGAGGACTAAGCACACATGTCGGTACCCACCTATGACTTTCCTCTCAGGCTGTGCTTTGTCTTCCACAGGTGCCGATGGTGGAGCGCTCTGCGCCTCGGCGTCGGTCATGCTCGCTGTCGGATTACTACACTTTCACTCCGGAGTCCCCTCCCTCCTGCTCTTCCCGAAACTTTTCTTCTTCCTCTTCTTCTTCGAGGTCTTGCGGCATCCTCGGCGTCGCATTACTGCCTCCTTCTGGATGTAGTCCTGCCTCCGTCCGTTCATCCATGATCTACAACCGCTTGTGTCCTCGTTAGTCCAATCGCTCTCAGAAAACCAAACAGCCATTTTCCGTCTCTAATATGCCTTTTACACTGGTCTCTACTCGCCCTGTTACATCATTACTGCTATATTATTTTCTTTACTTTACTATATGAAAAGTCTACTGTTAAGGTTGATGTGTCCAATTATCTGTCTGTTTGTTCTTTCCTATTAGTTGCCTATACTTTTATTTTATTACAATAAGTGTTATAATGATCACTGTTAACATAAAGAAGGATCTGTTTGTGTGTGTGTGTGTGTGTGTGTGAAGGACATTTCATACTTTATATAAACCTTTTTTATGATAAAACATGTACTGTATGGACAGCTTTTTAAGGAGGAGCTTATATCGTATACAACATTAACAGACAGTAAAATCACCTTATTATAATAAAAATAGGCTATAATATCAAAATACATTTCTATATTGTGTATTACATATTGGATCCCCAATAGCCTGTGCCATAATAAACACATTACATTATATTTCTCTGCATATTTGGATTAGATTAAACTAAATTATATCAAAATATGATTGCACAGTACAACAGTCTCATACACTGTACACTAGTTAGACTACTGAAAAACAAAAACAAATTCCTCTTTAAATGAAATGAGAGAAAATAAAATATGAATAATTTGACATCTTCTCGTAAGCTGATGTATAAATAATGTTTTGTTCTTCAATTCCAAAAGTATTCTTTTATGTTGCTTTTCACGACCGATCCATAAATTATGGTGCTGCACTTTTCTGTAAAGAGACTATAACCAACTCAATATATTCTTATTTATATCAGCAAGTTCAGACCTTAAATAAATCAGTGAATAATAAGTAATTCTGCCTCAACCTGTTGAATGACTTCATCAGACCAATGCAGTTTTTGGCCAGCAGGGGGAAGGAAACACTTTGTGACCTGATCCAACATGATGCACTCAGGATGAAGATGATGATGATGATGATGATGGGATCATTTTAATTTCAGTATTTTATATAAATAATTATTATAAGTATGATGAGTGAGAAATGTGTCTGTTATTTACAAAGTAATCCCTTTATTGAAATAATACTGTGTTACATTGCAGAGTAATTCCAATATTGGCATTATTGATCAGGAATTAATTCCCTCATTCCAGCTACAGTTTCTTAAGAGATAGCTCATCCTGAAATCAAACTTCCATGTTGGATTTTATTGCTGGATGAGCTTTTTCTGAATAGGTCTGATTGACATTTTATGACTGTTAAAAAGAAATACCCCCTTTTAACTTTGGAGGGCTGGTATTGTGCTTCAGGGGCTAGCTGGCTGTGGGTTTGGTGGTCCTGCATGTTCGGTGAAGATTAATTTGACACAGGATTAATAAAGCAATAACTGAATGTTCTTTTTGGGGTTACGCTAACTATGCCTTTAAATACAGCCCTCAGCACATAGGTCATAGGACTCCAGTTTCACAGCGCTAAATTTAACCCAGCAGCTCTTAGAACTGCCAAGTTCAACGAAACCCTTTGCTGTGCACAGAAGCCATGGGTCTCTGGACTGAAAAAAGGCTCTAATTAGAAGTGTAATTATTAGTAGCAGAGGGAATTAGAGGCAGCAGAGGAGCACTGATAGGACGGCAGCACTGATACTGTGGATCAAGAAAGAAACAGGCTCAAATATAAGAGGAGATACTTGGGTCAAACAAAGTTTATTAAAAATGTGTTAAATGAATAGAAAGTCCTCTACACACTCTGATTTATGCCTTGTGTTTCCAGTGTGCATGAGAAATGTTTCACTTTAATATGCAAGTAAAGGAACCGTGGGTCTGTATGTACCAGACATCTGGAATATCAAAACTCAGTTTTACTCTTTTTATCTTGAGGAACAAATGTAAAGAACATAGAAAATATTTTTAAATGTTAAAATATATATAATTTAACATTTAAAAAAGTGTGACATTGAAATCTTTTAAGCTAATTATTTCCATTACTGTATATACTCTTTTCATCATAGAAACCTATCAAATGAATGTACAGTAAAGGAGCTCCATGCGAAGTATGTCCACTGGAGCTGAGTGGTCCATGCTGCACTAGAATGAAAAGCCACGCATGCGCAGAATATGCCACATTGCCGAGGTTTGTTTCATGGGCATTTGGATGAAAGCAGCATCAAGCTACACAAAGTCAACCACGAGAAGAGCGGAAATTTTGCAACTTCACTTTCAAAATAAAAGTGTGTGTAACATGTCAGTCATGAGAAAGAAGAAATAGTGTCAAGTTTTTAGTTAGCATGATAACAAATGAAATGGGTGTTTTTCAGTTAAAATATCATGAGAAAAACCCCCATTATGATAACTAATTCATTCTATACTGTTTTTTTTCTCCAAAATATAGTTTTATAATGTCTTCCAATACACCTTTACTTTTAAACACAAATGCCTAAAGGGGTATATCCAAATTATAATGTAACAACTCCTGATCTACATGCATAAACAGCATTCTTGTATAAACATAAACAACCAGCTTTTAAGGTTTCTTGAGAGATTGTCAGAAACATACACAGTAATCTGCAAGCATTCAAATCCCACATACTTACTTAACAGTAAGCCTGTATAAGCAGTAAATTGCTGGTTTGGCTTTCCTTAAGTAAAGCCTACTCAAAGCAGTTTTCTGCCTCTCAGTTTAAGTGAAAATATAACCACTAATACTTTTGTTTTTAACATGTGAAAAGAAACTGAATGTGTAAATTGTATATACCATAAAACCAAACAAAGCATAAAAATATCCAGATGTATGGGAGGTGGAAGCTTTCTTTCTATAGTGGGAGCTCCCAGTCATCCTCTTTAAAGTCTACATTATGTCATATCACATTACACTAGAGTGAATATAATGGCATGGTCGACATGATTGTCCAATTTTGCTCATTACAGCTCTATTGTTATCAGCTATAGCTCAACCCACAAGACACTGCTGTACATAAATGCCATATGTAAGGATAGAACAAGAACGTACTATTTTTCAGTTGTACAGAACATGTTTTGTCTCAATTATTTAATGATAAGGAAGGATACTTTCTATTGCTCCTCTTTAAACTCTTTAAACAAAAACATTTTCATTTTAAATTATATTATACAATCCTGCATTTTAAGTGACACTAAATAACCTCGAATCTTATCAAGAATGTCTCTGTGTATTACGTGTTTGTGTTAAATTGATAGCCTAATACAACGTTTTTTTTAAACTCTCAAATTCTTTTGGGTGTCAACAATCCATTATCAGTTCCATATTCTAGAATACACTGCAGACATTACAGTTACATTGTAATACACATTCTGAAATACAATTCGTCTACATTCTAGAATGCATTGTATCACATTTAAATGCTGAAATACAATGCAGCATCTACGTTCTAAAATACAACGATAACTAACTAAATAACTGCTATCTCCATGACAACTGTGTCCAAAACCATGAGAGGCCGTTGAAAGGTCGAGAAAAAGCCAGTGAGTGGACCTTGATTTTTTATTTTCTCCTGTCAAAAACTCTGAGGAAGGCTGTCATGTCTCTACCGCTGTAATAACTGAATAATAAGGGGTTTTTATTTTGACAGTACCAAACGGGAAGTCGTGTTTACATTGTTTTCACGTCGAGTCCGTGGTGAGGAGGAGCTGGATGAGGGAGAGACCACAGAGGAGGTGGAGAGTCGGCTACAGACGGCACAGACACAGCGGGGTTCACGGCTCTGGTTCTTCTCGGCCCGGCGGCTGACTCTCACGGTTGTGCACCTCCGTAACGAGGTCGACTGCACCCTGGGAACACAAACCAGAAGGGGGGAGAGAGAGAGAGAG